TGGAGTTGGTTTAACTCCATTTGTTAACAAAAGCTTCTGGCACCTGAAAAATCTCAGAGTGGTATCTTTTGCTGTGACCAGAAATATCTCGGTAGAGAGAGGGGCTCACAGTTTCCCATTGCAGTAGGAGATATCTCTGGCCTAATGGCAAAAAATCCTGAATCCAAAGTTCTAAGGAAATCTGACTTCAAACTTTGATTCTGCCCCTTACTTACTATGTGACCCTCAGTAAGTTACTCAATCTCTCTCACCCTCACTTTCCTCATCTGCAAAATGGGAAAATACCACCTATCCTGCACATATTTAGGTTATCCTTTAGGGATAATGATGTTATCCTTTAGGGATAACCTAAAGATGAATGCTTACAAAAGTGTCTAGAACATAGATACTTAATTCAGTTCAACAAAAAATGTGCCAGGTTCCAGACAAGGTGCTGAGGACACAAAGATGAATACAATACTAACTTGTCTTCCAGTTGTTCACAGTGTAGAAATGCTGTTACCAGGAGTTTATTTTCTTTCTTCCTCATCTTAGCCTTCTTTTACAATGATGATATAAGTTTCAGAATATTTTCTGCCTTTTCACCTCTGGGCTCTCAAGAGAGATCATGCTGATAGGGTAGCAGTAATGTTTACGTGCTTCATTGTCAAACACAGGGAGTTGGGATAGTTACTTAAATGTTGTAGGGAAAATATTCCTTCTATGCTTTCAAGTTATTGTCAACAGTGATCACTAACTTTCCCATTTTTTTCTTTTTTTAACTTTTTTTAGTTGTTGATGGACACAATCTTTATTTTTATTTGTTTTTATGTGGTGCTGAGGATCAAACCCAGTGCCTCACATGTGCAAGGCAAGCACTCTACTGCTGAGCCACAATCCCAGCCCCTAACTTTCCCAGTTTTCATGGTATAAGTATGCTTATTCAGCACCTTAAAATAAGTTACCGAAAAACTCTTAATTCTCACTCAGTGTACCCCCACCCTATTTGGATTTATATTGCAATTGAAAAGACTGGTCACAAAGTATCACTTCCCAGTTTAGCTACCTTAGTGACCAATTTCTGGCTCACCCTCCTGATTTGGAGATCAGGTTCTATTCTAAAAACCAAAAGACTCTCCAGAAAAATACCAGCACAGTATATATAAGCAGAGGCTGACATATAGTAACTACAGGGGAAATATAGGAGATCTCAAAATGTTATAATAATACCAAGCCCATCCTTCCCTTGATGGGGCAATTCCACAAAGTCACAGAAAAATTTTTTTTTTTTTCATTTTAGAATAGATTGGAAGAAACCCTTTGCCAAGCAAGAGCCAGTTGTTTAAATTTTTGATTTGAATTTTAAGCAGGATTATACATGCCTAAGAACATCATGCTATTTTTAGCCAATAGGTAGGATTGCTGTGTCCACAACAGTTTGGAGCAATCAGGAGCGAAACTATCAAACGTCATCTCTCACTATGGTACCTTATCATTTTGTTCTTCTCTTTCTATTTTAACATTTTAAAAAGCTTCATCATGAAAACACTTGTAAAGCACACATACTAGACACAATACAAAGTTTAAATAAAAAGACATAGTTCCTATGTTTTATTACGGCTTTAATTCACATTAAACAAACCAGATATATGAGAGAAGCTCAAGTTCAGAGCATTCTCAAGTTGCCATCCAGCCCCTAAGTGTCCAAGGAGATACATTAGGAAGCAATTGTCCTAAACCTATCACCCTTCCAGTGCTTGCACTCTTTATGTATTAAAAGGAAAAGGGTAATGAAAGAGTTCTCAAACTGTCTGTGATGACAGAGGCACAACTGTGTATCACTGAATTGTATATTTAACTGGGGGAATTGTGCAGTATTTACCTAAAATCTTACTAAAGTCATTTAAAAAGGGAGGAAAAATGTTCTTACTCAGTTCTAATTAGTCAAACCTATTTTTTAAGCTCTCACACTAAAGCTTATCTCGCTAAAGGCTGTTCTGGTTTGGCAATATTGCCTCAGTGCACAGTACCTTTTTCCACATATCTTTCTTTCTGTTGTTGCTTCCCTACTCTCTCTTCTGTTATTTCCCCAATATTTTCCTATTACTCTTCTAGTGTAAACTAGGTCTTAGGGTCTCTCAGTTGTTATAACCATGTACCAACTGGTGGACCTCAGGATTAAATGAATTGCTGACCCTGGACAACTTCCCCTTCATGACCTTAGGCAAGTCACATCCCGGCTGTCCTGTGCTTATTCCAGTCTGCAGGATCAGGGGTTGGACCACATGATCCTTTCCAGCTCTCACATTCTATGTGGGAAAAAATCCAAACAATGAACACTTACTTGGCTGATAATATGCAAAGTTGCTGCCATTTTTTCCAATACACATATACTTGGATTATTCAATATTTAAATACCCACCATGATGCAATCCTCCAAAGAACCATATTTAATATATTTATGAAATGATCAACATGGGGTCCTTATTTTTAAAAACAAGCTCTTTATCAAAGAAAATTCAGAGCAAATGCTTGATAGTCCCTCTAGACCTGTCTCTGAGGGTCCATTTTCAAATGAAAAAAAAGAAAAAAAGCTTTTAAATGCCAGATCCCTGTTGAATTTGGCAAACCAAAGAAAGAAATAAGATTGGGATAGCACTGCCTTAACAACAGTGATTCAACTAAAATCCTAAGAGGAAAAAAAGGCCCTATGTATCAAGTGGTAGAAAGACCTGACACAAGACAGCACCTCAACCTCAACTCTCAGAAATATGCTCAGAGAGCAAATGAACACCACAGGAATCCCTCTACCCTGGATAATTTACAGCTTTTTATACAAACCAGTTGCATTTCCCCAACAAGTCACAGAAACATGTAGTCACCAGTTTCCAACATACCACCACCAAACAAATTCACAGTATTGTTTCCATGTGCCCAACATCAGAGAGTAAAAGTGAAAGAAACATCAATTTCTCCTACACACACACACACACACACACACACAGAGAGAGAGAGAGAGAGAGAGAGAGAGAGAGAACTATGCAAGAGAAACCATTTCCTTTGCAGAAACTAAGTTGTCTAAGTTGTGGGCATGTAATGGATAAATATTAGTTACTAATAAAAATCCAACGGTTAGGGTTAGCTCTCTACTGAGAAGCAAACAGCACACGCATAAATGATGAAAACAATAACCCTAAGGTGTGATCCTTGTCAGTAAGCTGAATGCCAAACATGGAGAGAAATGTATCCATTTGCATCCCTCTTTCCCACTACCTCAGACCAACAAGCTCTCCTGGTAGTTACCTCCCTACTCGTCTGTGTCCCTATCCAAGAAGTCACGCAAAAAGTAGCAGGCTCTCTCTTTTTTTCCCTTCAGGCCCTGGGGGCACTGAACCAGCGTGGGGGAGGGGGCGGAAAGGACAAAGGTGGACACTTTCGAGCCCTCTCAACTTTGTCCCCGGGCTCCCACTGTCTCTCCCCTTCTCCTCACAGAACTAGAGCACCTGCCAGAGACAGGTCCCCTCCTTCAGGTTACAGGGCCTAGGTGTCCAGGGAGCCCAGGCACTGTACCTCTAAGGGACAAAGGCCAGGCTTACAAAGGGAAGGGGAGGCGAAAGAGTCGGGACGGAATGAAACCTTTACTAACAAAAGGAAGGGGGCACTAGAATACCAACCCATCGCTGGTGTTCCCCGAGGTTAGGTGAAATGTGTGTGGGGTAAGGGGAAGGTTTAGAAAATTCCTCAGGGAAAGAGGGCGCAGCAGCCAGCAGGAAGGAGGATGCAGACAGGACTGAGGCTCTGGGGTGCGAGGGGTGCACAGTTCATGGGTGAAGAGAGGTGATGGCAAAGAGGTGAAGGCTAGACAGGACCCAGTGGACAGAGCAACACCGCGCAGTGCTACCTGGGGCCAGAGAGGGACCCTCAGGAGGTGCTCAGAAGGGGGCTGGGGGCCCGCGGTGAAAGTATTCGGGGAAGAAGGCAGAGTTGGGGACGAAGTGTTGGAAAAGAGACTGAGAACAGAACCGTAGAGAGGCTGGGGGGGGGGGACTGTGAGGGGGCCTGACCCCTGTCCGCCCCACCTCACCTGGCGCCGGGTCGGAGTCCAGGTCTAGTGCTGAGAAAGAACCAGCTCCGGCCAGTCCCTCCGTCCTGCGCCGGAGACCACGGACACAAAGCGGGGCGCGCGGGAGGAGGGGAGAGAGAAAGAGGGAGAAGAAGGGGGAGGGGAAGAAGGAGGAGGAGACGCCTGAGGCGCACGAGGGGGAGAAGGAGGGGCGCCCGCCGCCCTCCGCCTGGGTCAAGGGGCGGGGCGTGCGCCTGGAGGCCGAGCACGGCTGGCCAATGGTCATCCCGCCGGCCTGAAGGATAGGGCGCGCCTTCTCGCAGCTCACCTCGGCACCGGCACCTGGGCCTCTTCTGGCCTCAGCCAATCAAACGCTTTCATTTGTATAACTGGCCCCGCCCATTCACCCCAGCCAGGGCACTACTTGCTGAGAATACAAAGAAGGCACGCATCCCCAAAGCGAGAGGTGGTCGACTCCCGACGCCCTACCCCAAGGGCGCAGTATCCCCTTTCAGCATGTTTACACCAGCCTTCTAGGTGAGGGGAGCGGGTGGAGTCAGAGAAGTTTGGCTCAAGACCTTAAGAGATGGGAATTCTTTTTCCCTGTGGGCCTTCTAATCCAGAGCTGCTCTTCTGTTACAGGGCACACAGTTCCCTGTCTTCACCTCTAGTTCTCCCCCTCCCCTCCCATTTTTTCCAGTTGCCCTAATCTCTGTGCTTCAACCCGTAGGCTGCTGCCCACTACTGGCCTTCTGCTGCACTGCATCCCTCATCAGTACGCTCTGAGCACAGCCTTCAAGCCGCCCCAACCAACCCCTGTCCAGAAGGAAAAGGAGAGACAAAGAGATTACTGCACTAGGATAGCAGGGACCTGGTCAAGTGGCTCTGTACCATCAATAATTAGCATAAGTGCAAACTCCCCAGCCAAAGCATCTCTTCCCACCTTCCCTTCTCCTACCTTCAGGTCTGTACTGGGCCACAATGGTGACTGACTGGCCAGCCCGTTTCAGAGCAGCTGCAGCTTGCTCATGAGTTGCATTCCTCAGGTTCACTCCATTTACCTGATCAAAGAGAGGAGTCATGAGCCACTCCAAAAGCAAGAAAGGAAGTCCTCTGTCCTACCAGTTAGAAGGAAATGTCTTTCTCAAAATTCCATCCTTGCCCCCTAAATGAAACCTAAAGGACACAACATCTGTAGTGCAATCTTTGTAGGAGTCTAATGCCAATCAGGGTTAAGATCCAAGATATATTCATTTTCTCCTTAAGGATAAGTCTGGTCTTGGTCCCCTGTCCCTCACTAAGGATATCTATAAAGACAATGTATGTTTTCTCTAGTCCTTAGCTCTTGCCTCATCTCAAGAAGCATTCTTTAAGGAAGCCAGGTCTCCCCTCCTCCCTTTCAGACTGGCACAGCTCCCATCCTCCCACCTCGCCTTTGTCTCACCGATAAGATCCGGTCTCCCCTGCGCAGCTCCCCACTCAGGTCGGCTGGGCCTCCTGCCAGTATGAAGGAGACAAAAATGCCTTCTCCATCCTCTCCTCCTACGATGTTGAAACCTAGGCCTGTAGAGCCTTTGTGTAGGATGATCTTGCGGGGCTCTCTGGTGGGAAAGGAATGGAGACACAATGGAGGTCAGGACAAAAGGAGATAAGAACTGTTGTCCCTGTCAGGGCCAGCCTGGAAAAGGACCCATACATGCTGTAGGGAGTAAGGACTTAGGTCTATATGTATGATGCCCTGTTCCTCCCTTCATCTCCTGAAACCTGCTTGACTGCTCTTTGTTGTCAGATGCCCAGTTTCAGTTCCTCTTCTCTCCTTGTTCTTGAGGCCTTGGCATCAACTTCCCAATGGACAGCTCTCTCTATCAGGTCAACAAACCCGTACCCTGAACTCTAGAACCCAAATCCCAGAGCCCACTCACCAGTCCTCTTCCTCCCCAGAGCCTCCTATCCTATGGACCCTGTCACAGACCCTGGGCCACAAGAAGAGGAACATGTCAGGGACAGTGGACTCACCCTGAGTTGACTGCACCTACCATCCACAAAATGTGCATACTTACTTCACATCTGCCTCTCTGCCATCTCAAATTTCCACCCACCAACCATGACCCTTCCTACCTTCCCCAAGAACATATTTAATAAACCACTAGGTACCCCTAATAGGTGATGTGGGAGACAGAGATGAAGAAATCCCAGGTCCTCAAATGATGCTTACGGGCTAAACTGAAGAAAGGGGATATGAAAAATGCGACTAAAACTAATCATATCCGTGGAACCCCTTTCTAAATGGTCACAGTGTGATCAGGTGAGAGCAAACTTCCACACATATACTCACATACAACCCGACTCCCAGCACATTTCCAGGCCCACTTGTTACAAGCATCTTTCCTCAGAGAAGCCCTGAGTCCCAAGTGAGGGTCCCCCTTTCTCGGTCCCAGTCTCAGATGTGAGGCTCCCTCCCTGAGTCCCCGATGCTCTGGTTCCCAACCTTCCACTCCTACCTGGCATCCCCTCCAGGCCGCAGGGAGCGGAGCGGCCAGGCCCACCTCTGCGAAGCCCTCCTCCAGGCCGAAGCCGAGGCCGAGCCCAAGCCCAGGGCCAAGCCGGAGCCTGAGAATTTGCGGGCCCTCTCCATGGCTCCTCTGGCTCTTCCCCTGTCTGCCTACCCTTCCGGCTCCACCGCAGTCTGCCCAGCAGCCTACCAGGCCCCACCCCGCAAACCTGTCCCCCGGAATCCCGGCTGGCCAGACCAGTTCCACGGCGGGGTTCAGCCGCCGCCGCCACGGTGGGGCGGGGCCGTTCCCCGTGAGGCCACCGGGCCTGCTGGCCTCTCAGAATCCCGCCAACCCCACTGGCTGAACTGCTTTCTTCAATAATTTGGAGTGAGTGGCTGGAGCACAGGGGGGCGGGGGTGCAAACTATCTCAAGGCAGGAAAACCCACAGCCCCCACCTCCTCAGCCCCTAAACGCTCCACCCTACCCTTTATCTGCACTTTCGGATCGGGGCCACTCGGTCGGCGCTCCCCCTGATGGTAGAACTTGTCTTTGCAGCCACCTCGGTTCCTCTCTAGGTCAGAGAGAGGCCCCCTGCCAAGACGTCACAGCTAGGGGCAATGAGGGCCGGATACTCTTCTTTGCAAGAGGCCTGTCGCAGGCCAGAAATGATTCCTCTCCTCCCCCCTCCATGGGCCAGATGAATGGGGCGAGGGTCTTACCTGGTGAAGTCCTCCTCGGCCAGCATGTGCCTGGGGATAGGAGAGTAGCGAGTGGGGGGGACCTGAGGAGGAGCCGGGTAGCTGACCTTGCTCTCCACGGCCCCGAGATAACCCAGGCTGGAATTATGGCTTATGTGGTTGTCAGCCAAGGCAGTAAAAGCTGGGGTCAAGAAAGGGAGAGAAAAGTTCAGGGTTGTTCCAGGCAGGTACCTACCCCAACCCCCTTCTAAGGAATTTCCCTCACACCCCTTCTCAGGTCTCTAGGAAGAGATGCTGATTCCTCAGGCACCCCCCTCCCTTGGCCATCCACCCCCTAGGGTTCCTCCTCCGCAGTCCCTTTCTAAATCCTGGGCTCACTCCTGTGACTCTTAGAAAAAGCTGAAGTCAAGGCAGTCTACAAAGAAAGGCCTGACTAGAGGTGTAACTAATAATAATCCCTCACATCTCTGAAGCCTAATACAGTTTTCCAAGGGTTTTCTCCTCCATGATCTCATTTGATCCTTGCACCAGTCCTATGAGGAAGGCAGCACATATATCATTAGCTTTTTGCCAAAGAGGAAAGTAAAGACAGGTGAAAAGGACTTGTCCAAGGGCACCCAGCTCCAAGGGATAGAGCTGGGATCTGGACTCAGTTCTGAGCACTATCTCCTGCACTTCCTCTTTTTTTTAAAAAATTATTTTTTTAGTTGTCATTGGACACAATATCTTTATTTTATTTGTTTACTTTTAATGTGGTGCTGAGGACCAAACCCAGGGCCTCACACATGCTAGGAGAGCATTCTACCACTGAGCCACAATCCCAGCCCCCCCACTTCTTCTCTTCACAAGGGACACAAACAACTTCCCCTCCCCAAACCCAGGAGCACAGCCTGAGGCCAGGGACAGGAGCCAGAGAGTACGTACTGCTGGCGTAGTCAGGGGGAGCGTACATGTCGTTGAGGTGGAGACTGCCTGGCTTGGCCACTTTCAGATAGACCATATCAGATGTATTCTTCAGTGAGGCCACAGCTTCCTCGTGCCTCACATCCTGTAGATTGGTGTTGTTCACCTAGAAAGGGAGAAGCCTCAGCCTGGGAATTGGGAGAAAGGAAGGCCTCTCTCTGGGCTCCAGAGGGGTGCCCTTGCAATGAAATTCAATGGTGTGCTAACAGAGGTCCAAGTATAGTGCTGTGAGGACACAAGACAAGCAGGAGGAAGGGAAAGAGCAGGTGAGGGAGCCCCTGCCACAGAGAGAACTAGGGACTTGGTATGAGAAGATATTCTTGAAATACCCCAAGATGCCTCATCCCCAGTGAGGTTTAGGTGGAATGACAGGGTGCTAGAGCTCCTCCTCCCCACCCTACCATTTGGGCATCCCCATGAAGCCTGTCTCACCGCCAGCAGCCGGTCCCCAATCTGTAGGCGTCCATCCTTCTGAGCAGCTCCCCCCTCAATGATCTTGGTGATGTAGATGCTGTTGTCTCCCGGGATGTGCTGGTTGCCAATGCCCCCAGCAATGCTGAAACCCAGGCCTGGGAGAGGGTCACAGAGAAGGTTAGAGTGTTTGGTCAATCCCAAAGCCAATTCCCTTCCTCCAGCCAACCCACTGGCCCCTCAGGAGCACCCCCCCAGGAATCCCAAACACTAGGCTGCCATCCCAAGGTCAGTAAGGGTGAGACCTGAGGTCAAGAAAGAAAGCTATGAGCTGGAACTGGAGGAGTCACACAAGGAGTAAGGCCATTCCCTTCCATTCCCCATGGGGCCAGTCAAGACCTGGGGCCAGGGGCTCTGGCTAGAGCACAGGAACCCAGAGGGCCGCACCTTTGGGCCCTTTGAGCAAGTTGACCTCCATGATGGTCTCGGGTGGGGGCTGTCGCCTCCGCACCACCAACCGCACCACAGGACCTGCCTCCTTCAACGCCTCCACGGCCCGGCTGTGCACCACCTCCGACACGTCCACCTCATTCACCCGCAGAACACAGTCATTCACCCTGCGGGGGAAGCCCGAGAGGCATGACACTGTGCCACAGGCCCTCCACCCCCTCTCCCACATCCTTCCCCTCCTGCCCCCTCCTCTTCCTCCTCCTCCATCCTCTCCCTCTCCCCGTATCAGATCTAATGGAAGGGTCATCCTGCCAGACTGGCCCTCCTCCCTTCCTCTCCATCCCACCCCTGACACCCACAATTCTGCTTCCAGTATCTCTCACCCTAGTCTTCCATCCATGGCAGCTGCTCCACCAGGGATGATCTTGGTAATAAAGATTCCAGGGTCATCAGGGACATGGGGGTTGTCGATGCCACCTGCAATACTGAAGCCCAGGCCAGAGTTGCCCTGCAGAAGGGGGTGGAAGGGCACATTCTATTCACTGTGAGGGCACAAAGGAAGGTTCTAGGCAGCACCCCCCCCCCCAGACCCAGAGAAAAATTTCCAGGCCCCCTGGTAGGCTGGTGGACATTTGTCAGAAACTCAGCAGGCTCCCAGCCTGTGCTGACCATCCTGGCAGGGAGGCCTCAGCAAACCCATCCCCTCCCCAATTCCCCAGGCCTCAGCGAGCAAGGTCAATTAATATTTGTTAGGGAGTTGATTGATTGATGCAGTGAAGTGGCTCTGAAGGCTGCTATTTCCCTGTCCTCTCAGTGCAGGTTCCTCATGAGTGTTGAAACTGGTGTTCAAGGCCCTCCCCTCTTTTGACTTCAGCCCTCTCCTCCCCTTTCATCCTCTCCCCACAGGCAGACTCACCCGTTCGAGTACTATCTCCTCATATTTGAACATGCCATCACTGCCATTCACCTAGGGGAAGACACAGGCAGCTGGCTCAGTGCCTCTTGCCCTCCCAGTCATCTGCCCTTTGGTCAACCTGCCTCCTCCCCTCCCCCACTCCCACAGAGTAGAGGGCCCACATATATCCCAGGTCACCTCTAGGCCACAGATGGGGACAGGCTGACCCCAAGGGGGCCACTCCCCTCCCCTTACATCCAACCATATCAGGCCAAACCCAGCTGCTTACTTAGCTCAGATCAATTGTCTGGGACTGAGCCAGTCAGTGGTGCACTCACCAAGAGGCTGGGCTCCAGGGCCTCAGGGTTCACTAGGAGGGGTGCAGGACTGGCCTAAGGGGGGTGGCAGAAATGGAGCATGGGGGGGCAAATTGCACCATACCCTGCTCCATAGGGGGTACCCAGAGGTCTGGCCAGAGAACCCCTCCCCTTCTGAACATAGCTCCCCCTGACTTGTGGACCATAGAGTCCTACCATGTCAGAAAGCAGACACCATCTTATCTAACCCCCTCATGTGACAGATGGTGACATCCAAGAGAGGATGTGGAATGTGCCTAAGGGCACAATGGGAGTTAGTGGCAGAGCAGGTCCTAGAACCTGGATATCCAGGTGCTCTTTGGATTAAAGCAAGCTGTCAAGGCCATCATCCCCTTTCTCCAGGAGAAATCATGGGGAAAAAGGAAAGTTGTCCCCTTCAGAGTACCTTACGAACCCTTACTCTACACCATCTTCAGGGGCTCCAACAACACAATTCCCCAGGACTGGACAAAAGTCAAAGTCCTAATCCATTTTCTACCAAGGGACTGTTGATTCTTTGTATGTTCCAGCAGAAATGGCCAGGGTGGGATCTAGTCAGGATTCAGAGGCAAAGCCAGGGCAGGACAGGAACAGAGTAGACACTGTTCTTCATGAGGTGAGGGATAGCATGGTGACCCACAGACTGATTACCAGCAGAATTCTGTGGTCTTCAAAACACAATAGCCATGGAGAGGCAATGGAAGGGGTCAGAAATGCAGGGTTGATTTGACCAACCCACAGAGATGGCCTCCCAGACAGGACATATATGTGGCCACATTTCAAGTGGAAATCTGATTCTGGACAAACAAGTAGCACCTGCTCCCTGGTTCCCAATCTCATCTGCAAGAATGGAGAAGTTCTCTTGCCTCTCTCCCCAGGCAATCTGGCACCTCCCCCATCTTTTGTTGGCTCTGTTGTCCCTTTCCTAATCCCTAGCCTCCACTCCAGAAGAGAGCTAGAAACCCAGAGTGGGGGCTCCTTTGAGCACCCTGCTGTGCTTCCCCTTCCTACCTCCACCCCCTGCAGCTTTAGTTTCAAGCAGACAGGGGGGAGAGAGAGAGAGGCTAGTCACGCCTCCCCCGATTGGGGATATGGCTCCCAAGACTTCATGCCCTGCAGCCCTGGAAGGAGATTAGAGGTCTCCAGCTACAGCTTCACCCTGGTTCCTGATCCCAGGAGGAAGAATGGATGGTATCTTCAGAGACCCAGAACCAACACAGCTGCCTGAAGTACCATGCAACAGAAACACAAGCAAAAGGACACCCATTTGTTTCTTGTATGCATCTGGTGTACCATGTGTGCCCACATGTGACAAGCCATGCCTCAATCCCAGTTCAAGTGGTACCCAGAGACTTCCACTTCCCATTGGTCTACCCTCTAGTCCCCACTCCACCCTCACTCAGGGACCTTGCTTCCAGGGCCTAGGAGTCATGCAGGGATCAGCTCCAGGAAAGACATCTTAGCCAACTGGTATAGCCCTGGGATTGGTACCTGTCTTCAGCTGGGCAGGACAAGTATAAGAAAGTGTTTGCAATGGAAGGGCCAAAGGACAGAGGGGCAAAGGAAAGAAGGGTACTTGCTGGAGAGGGCAAGGAGCCAAGTCAAGGGACTGAGGCAAGGGATGCAGGAAACAGTAAGTATGGACAGACAGAAGGCCAGAACTGAGGATTCCTCTCTCCAGGAAGTCCCCACCTTTGCTTCTGAGCGAGAGCACATCCTATCCCCAGAGGAAGACAGAGGCAGCCAGGACGGGTCACCAACTTGGGGCAGTCAGCTCCTGCCCTCAACAGCAAAGCCTCCTCCTCCTCTCTCCCCACCCTAGGGGCTGCAGAGCCGAATAGCCAGACAGGCCTTCCGCCATGCATGCCAGGGACCTGGCTCTGCCGGCCCAGCCTCCATTTTGCTGCTTCTCCCACAGATGCTCCTTCCATTTTCTAAGCTGGCAGTTTAGTCTGGGAGTGGAAGCCGGAGTTGTGCCCAGCACCCAGAGGCTCCCAAGCTGTGCCAAGTCAGGACTGGGGGGCTAAGTTCTCCCACATCTGGAGCTGCCCAAGGGGAACATGCCCTACTGGGGCCAGACCCTGCACCAGGGCAGCTGCCCCTTGCTTGGCTCCAGGCACCATGCCTGCTCTGGAGCGAGAAAGCTTGCTTCACCCCCCACCCCAACCCCCAGCACACACACTTCAGAGCTGCTTGGACAAAAGAGTCTGTCCTTCTCAGCAGCCTCTCAGCCTTGCTTGGGACATGTCTCTCGCCTCCTCCCCCTCCCCTCCCTTGCCTGTCAAGCGCTGCTCACCAGGGACAACACACACACACACACACACACACACACACACACACGGGTACACACTCTGGCAGCCACATGCTCACACACATATACATGTAACCACACACACATGGGCAAACCCAGCTATCCCTGCAGCCTCATCTATAGAGACACCTCCACATTCAGAGAGACATCCCCACACGTCCATGTGCACATTCACACACAAAGGGACTGGGACTGAGAGGACTCATGGCATCGAGGGATGAAGCTCAGCAAGCCGGGCACATGGGCTTCTCTACATAAGACTCACAGGCGCTCCATTGCCTTCCTCCACATACCCCAACATACATACACACACACATATGTCCCCCCTACGCAGAGTACCGTGCCCCCTCCTCCCCTCCTGTGGAGACACACACAACCCCCGCAGAACCTCCCGCCCCCTGCCAGACACAGAGACACTGCCAAACCCCCGCACTGAGACAAACCCAATTCCCCCACACAGGAAAATGTGCCCCTCCGCCATACCTTCACCCCTTGACACACACAGCTCCTCCCAATCCCCTCCAAATGGAGACCCCCTGAACACACACACACACAGGGAACCACACGTTCCCAACCACCTCTCTTTGCCCAGCTGCAATGCTAAGGCTCGGGGATCCACAGGCTTGGAGCCCCAGCAATCCCTGCTGCATCCCAGGCCTCTAAGGCACCCACTTTCCAGCCCTCCTGGATTGCCCCACCAGCGCCCCCCACCTCCGCTGGTCCATACCTGCTCATACCAGTCCCGGTTGGTACAGGTGCACTCAGGCCACCAGCTGGGGCCACTGCCGTTGAGTTTGGGGGTGCTCTTGCCTGGGACTGGCTTAGGGGGCACTGGCCCCACATCCCGGCCGGTGGGGATGAGCTTGGCCTTGGTGCGAGGAGTGGGGGTGGCCCCTGCCTGTGAGGGCAGGGTCTGCGAGCTGTAGCCCCCATAACCGGAGCTGGCCCCATTACCCCCACCTGGCCCATAGGGGTCGGGCACCTGCCAATCCCCGTAGCCAGGAGGTTCGAGGCGCCGCAGGGCGGCCAGGCGGGTCACTTCATAGCACTCGGGGCACTTACAGCAGTGCTGGTGCTTGTGCATGGCACTGCCCCCCGCAGCTCGGACCCCCCAGCCCACGCCAGTTTCCACGCCGCCGCCGCCGCCGGGCTCCCGGGCACACTCACACTGCTCGGACCAGGAAGGGGGGGGCACCCGCGAGGGCGCCCGGGCAGAGCGGGGCCTGGGGCCGGGAGGGCGTCCGGGGGCCTCTGCCCCCACGCTGCCCCGCACCCATGGCTCCCCCTCCAGCACTGGCGGCTCCGTGTCGCCCGTCGTGGCTTCTGGGCCAAGGCCCAGCGGCAAAGAAGAAGCGGGAGCCCAAGCAGAGACTGGGTGCAGTGAGGACCGCTTCTGCTCTGGTCCCCAGGATGGATCTGAGTGGAGTCAAGAGCATCTCTCCCTGGCTCCCTTCTCAGTTGATTCCAGCCAATCAGGGCGCAGAGTCAGGCAGCGGCAGCGGCAGGAATGCTAAACAGCAGCTCCTTAAAGGAACAGAGGCAGCAGCGTCCCCAGGCTCAGCCCCAGCTCCTCGGATCTCTAGGGTACTGTCCCCCTGGTGTAGGAGCAGAGGACTTGGACCAAAGGAAAGCTCGAGCGCGCGATCTCATCCCCCTATGTCCCCAATTTTAGCCCGTTCCCCTTCCACTCCGCCCCACCCCACCTCCAAGAGGGAGTTGCACAAAGATGCTCAATGGGTCCCCAGGCTTGCTCTGATCTGGGGCCACCAGAAGTAAAGACTTGAGGGAGCAGAACTGACCGAAAGGACGTTGGAACAGAGTGAGAAAAGTGCTCTTTCCTACAGGGGACAAGCATATAAGGTAGCATATGAGGCCTGCTCTCCTGTCAATACCTCTTCCTCAGGACTATTGTTCTCTCATCCTCTAGGCCCCGAAATGACTGTGTACCTCACACTTGACCTTCTTACATCACCACTGAGGGACTCAATCCTAGAACAGGCAGTAGTAGAAAACTCCAAGCACTTGTCCTTGGTCCACATACTCCTGTCCCTCCATTCCATTCTCCCATGGTTATGATGGGGGAAGGAGCTTCTGGATTCTAAGAGGAAAGAGTCCAGGATAGGAGAAAAGGTAAGAGACCTGAAGTGAGAGAAGTCATTCTCCGGGTCCAGAGAAGAACTTGAGAATACCCATCCAAAGGCATCTCCTTTGCCTCTCATGGCTCATGCAGCCTGTTGGGGGATGGGAGGAGGGTAAGAAAGCAGGAAGACTGTCTCTTGTTGTTCTGCTTTTGTCTTTAGCTTACAATGATTGAGACTTTACGAAATATTAAGTGTTTTATGTGCAAACCAAAATCCTACCAAGGTAGTAACATTATTACCTTGATTTTCCCGACAAGAAACTGAGGACCAGAGATGTTAATAAAGCTAGATAACAGAGCTGAAAGTAACAGAATCAGGATGTAAATCCTTGCCATCTGACTCCAGGGGCCATGCTCTGAACCATTCTAGTATAATGGATCTATTCTAAGTTCTGCTGCAAAGCCTAGGTCTCAGTTCAATTCAACAAACATTCATAGAGTCACCTACTTTGGACAACACCTTGATGTACATGCTAGGGTTACAGAGATTCCTCCTTAATTCAACAAATATCCATGCCACTATTCTAGGATTTGAAGATATACTTGCAAACAGAACAGAACAAAACAAATCCCTGCCCTTGGGGAGTTTACATTCTCATGAGGAGACACAGACAAAAGTAAACACAATAAAAAAGTGAATGGTATAATGCATGTGGTGATAAGTGCCATAGACAAAAGAAAAAGTAGAGCTGGGCACAGTGTAACACACCTGTAATCCCAGCAGCTCCAGGAGCCTGAGACAGGAGGATCTCAAGTTCAAAGCAAGCCTCAGCAATGGCCAGACACTAAGCAACTCAGTGGGACCCTGTCTCTAAATAAAATACAAATTAGTGCTGGGGATGTGGGTAAAATGGATCCATGGATTGGGAATGCTAGGGGAAGACTCCAAATTGGGATTTTTTTTTTTCTTTGAGCTATTCATCCCCACATTTTAATATGAAAATTTACAAATAAACATAAAAATTAAAAGAATTTTACCAACCACCTGGATTTCCAGAAAGATTTTACTATGTATGCTCTATCATATGTGTATCCTCCATATATGCCCTACAACGTTTTTTTTTTTTTTTTACATTACTGGCTATTGAACCCAGGGTTGCTTTACCACTGAACCACATCCCCAGACCTTTTTAATTTTTATTTTGAGACAAGTTCTCACTAAGTTGCTCAGAGCCTTGCTAAATTGCTGAGGCTGGCCTCGAATTTCTGCATGAACCTCATGAGTTTCAGGAGTTTCAGGCATGTGCCACCAAGCCTGCCCCCTTCAACTTTTTGAAAAGGAAAATTTAACAACGTACAAAAATGTTGAAAGAATAGGGCTGGGGTTGTGGCTCAGTGGTAGAGTGTTTGCCTAGCATGTGTGAGGCACTGGGTTCCAATCAGCACCACATAAAAATAAATAAAATAAAGATATTGTGTCCATCTATGACTAAAAATATATTTTAAAAAATGTTGAAAAAGTAGCACAGTGAATATCACTGTATGTCTTCCTCATCAAGTCAACAAATAGTAATATATTGTTTCATTTGTTCTATCTAGGGATCCTTCGCTTTTTTCCTGATCCATTCGAATATAAGTTTCACTACACTTCATCTCCTAAGTACTCCAGCATGTATCTCTTGGTAATAAAGACATTCTCCCACATAGGCACAATATTTATGATACCTAAGAAAATTAAGCATAATCTCACATCATCTAATATCTAATATGCAGTTTGTACTCCAAGTTTGCCATATTTGCCTTTTATATTTATTTTAAAAAATCAGAATTAACCAGTGTTTTGAAAACTTCCATTAGCTATTATTTTATAGCGGGTCTGCTAAAACAAATTCCCTTAGCTTTCCTTTGTCTGAAAATATCTTGATTTCTGCCTCATTTCTCACATTATGTTTATGTCTTTAGTCATTTTTAACCTAGAACAGACCCAAAATTTTAAAACAACTTTTATGCTGGGCATGGTGACACACATCTGTAATCCCAGTTACTAGGGAGGCTGAGGCAAGAGGATCAATAAAATAAATTGATCACATAAAAATAAATAAAACAAAGGTATTGTGTCCATCTACAGCCTCACCACCTCAGTGAGACCCTGCCTCAAAATAAAAAATAAAAAGGGTTGTGAATGTGGCTGAGTCATAGAGTGCTCTAGGTTCAATCCCCAGTACCACAAAAGCAAAACAAATAAACAAAAATAAATAAAAACAACTTTTATTTTGAAATAATTATAGATTTATAGGAAGATGCAGAGATAATACAAAAAGGGCCTGTGTACCCTTCACCCAGTTTCCCCCAATTATTTATTTATTTAATTTTTAGTTGTAGTTGGACACAATATTTTATTTTTATGCGGTGCTGAGGATCGAACCCAGGGCCTCGCACTTGCTAGGTAAGCGCTCTACTGCTGGGCCACAACCTCAGCCCTCCCCCAATTATTACATCTTCCATAATTACAGTACAAAATCCAAATCAGGAAGCTGACATTGATACAGTGTGTATATAATTCTATGCCACTTTGTCACAGATGGAGAGTCTTGTAACAACAACTGCAATCGAAATACAGAACTATTTTGTCACCACAGAGACCTAGTGGTGTCATCATTTAATTGAGGTAAGGAAAGAATAGAAACCTTACCTCCTTTCAAGTCCCTTTATTCCCTCTCTTTACTTTTCTTTTTTCTTTTTTTTTTTTTGCGGGGGGGGGTACTGGGGATTGAACTCAGGGGCATTCAACCACTGAGCCACATCCCCAGCCCTATTTTGTATTTTATTTCTCCTATTTCCTTAACAAAACTGGCTGAGCTGCTTAGAGTGCGCCACTGTGCCCGGCTCTTTCCCATTTCTAATAAGATTATGTTAAATATTTCCTCCATTGAGATCCACAATCTTATACTCATTGCTTCAGTTATCAAACATAGATGACTGAAGAGAAGGAAAGTCTATTGTAATTGCCCATATTTGTGCTCATTCTATTCTTTCTTCCTTCCTGAGATTCCAAGATTTCTTCTTTTATCATTATGTTTTGAAAACTTCCATTAGCCATTATTTTAGAGTGAGTCTGCTGGCACAAATTCTCTTGGCTTTTCTTTGTCTGAGAATGTCTTGATTTCTGCCTCATTTTGCCACCTCCTCCTCCTGCAGTACTAAGGATCAAACCCAGGGCCTCAAGCATGCTAGCCCTTTTTCATTGTTTATTTTGAGACAAGTCTGGTTAAGTTGCCCAGCCTGACCTTGAACATGTTATAAGTTTTTTAGTTTGTTGTTATAGTCTTCTTGTTATAAAATTTCTAATTGATTCTTCATTATATCTCCTATTTCCTTGCCAAAACTTTCTATTTTTTGTTCATTTCAACTTTCTTTGTAATTGCTCATTGAAGCAGTTATTTTGAAATGTTGGTTACTTTTGATCTTGTCAAATAATTAAAACCTCTCTGTCATCTCAGTGCTGGTGTTTATTCATCATTTCTCCTTGAAGTTGAGGGTCTCAGGATTCTTGGTATGATGAATGATTTTTTTTATTGCATCTTGGGGATTTTTGTTGTGAGACTCTGGATTTTATTTAAACCTTGGTTTTGGTAGGCTTTTTTAGATACCAATGCCATCAGAGGAAGAAGCTACTGCCTACTTGCTGCCAGGTAAGGGTTCAAGTTCAAGTCTCCACCCCTTGGCCTCAGTTGGGGTTCCTTCTTACTGATGCACAGAGAGGGATATTCCAGCTCCCTACTAGACCTCCACTGATGTCTCCCTGGCTGAGAGAGGTTGAAATGCCGCTTTAGTTTTCCAGGCAGTATCCACTGACACTGTGGGTAGGAAGTGGAAGAAAGATTGACAGGGGAAGAATCAGGGCAGAGACCTCATTAATGCTTCATTGTTGTGAAAGTTCTGACTCTTCACTAGGCTTCCGCAGATACTCTGACACCACCCAACAGGGAGAGAGGTCTTATTACCCTGTGGGGATGGAAGTCTGGGCTCTCTACACAGCCCTCTCTGACTCCACTGTAGAGAGAGAGGGAAAGTCTGGACAGGGACAAAGTCTGGATTCTCTACTTGACTTTTCCTCGCTTGGGTGGAGCTGCAGGTTCTGTGGTGTTTGATTTTAGTGGTTATTGTCTAAGAATTTTCTATCTGGCTAAGCTGGTCTTCTGGCCAGAGAAAGCAAGCTTTTATTAGGGAGCATCTCCCTACTCATCTATTCACAGTGGCTTTTCCAAGCTGCTAGATTCTTCAGCACTCAGTCTGGGATATTCCAGGCAACAGGAAAACCCAGGGAATGTACCACCATGG